AAACCTAAACCAAATAAAATACCAACGTTTCAGTTTATTGGCCAGGAGAGAAAAAAGAGTATTCTTTTCTTTCAGCTATTACTACTATTATTATTGAAGTGGAAACAATAGGCTGATATGTAAATTATCAATATTAGCATAATCTGGTTTCTGACGAAGAGATTTGTTTGTCCATCTCACCAGAAGACGGCGGCAAATCAGTACATAAAACATCCACTTTTGGTTTGGGGCAATAACAGACCTGCCGTGCTCTCTAATGCACATCAAGAACGGTTGAGTTTAGAAAAATCCATTAATAATTTAATGTAACTCCATTTTGCATTCCGAAGCAATTTGACTAAAGGGTTTCGCAAATTGGTTTCCCCGGAAATCGAAGGAGTGGAGACTGCTTAATCATACAAGCAGATGTTCAACACATCATCCGGTCATTCCCGATACAGAGTTCAAGGCAACCTTCCTGGGTTCTGGTAAAAACTGGTTAAGATTTCGTATTTCATACCACTTGGCATGCATCATAAGAGCTAGGCATCATTCTGACTACCACTTTGAGCTAATACTCCAAACACACAAACGCATATGTATATAAATATATATGTGTGTGTGTGTGTGTGTATTAATATTTGTATATATATATGCATCTTCACATATATATACAGATACTCGACATGGAAGAAGGATTAACATTTTATAATTATACGATTCATGAAAAGGCAACCATTCTTTGTACTTATTTTCGCCTGGATAGTGACATGTAATACTGGTTTATTCTTTGTAAGAATGACGAAAAGATGGCCTTTAATGACTTCCTTTAAAATCCAATGTGACTAGTCTTATGCTCCTTTTAATCCTAGATTTTAAAACGCTAACCGTTGTGTTGTAACTATGGTTGAAATAAAAATTAAATAGAAAGTCAGCAGTCCACTCCAGCTGGGATGAGAACAACTTTTGAAAAGCAATATTTTGCGAAATTCAATGTAAAACATCTTCTGCACTCAAAGCATTTTGGGAAAATTGAACTACCAGTCGTTCATTAGCTTAAACGAAATAGGGCGAAAACATCTCATACTACTGATTTACTGGCAACCTCGAACCTTTACTTAAAATACGAAAAATAGACATTAAAATGTACCTGTTCTGAGGGAATAATCGACAGCACATGTTCGACTATCTGGCGGGCGCGGTCTTCCCTACTCTTCGGCGTCTCGTACACCATCGAGCGCAGGACAAGTCTGCGACGAAGGTCCTCCAGGCTCCGGGCGTACTCGTGGGTGTCGTCCAAGCGAAGAGCCTTCATCAAAAAAAATGGACGGGAACCTGATGAGAGCGAGAATGAGTGGAATTGGACTGTGGCTCGCGAGTTCAGATCTACCAGCTCAGACAATGCAGGCCCGGCTGGAAGATCATCAAACCATGGTTGGCACCAAAGCTGTATGTTCTGAAATGGCACGCCAGCAGCATAGACTGTCGTGGCCTTACTTGTTTGGGTTTATCATTTACTTTTGCGGCTGAATACATAGTTTCGTGTCTTGGTTTACTTTTTAGCTTCGAAGTTGTGTGATGTGTGAGAGTGGTCTAGCAAGAGGCAGTAGACTTCATTATTATGGCCTAACTTTTACCTTAATTTTTTATTGTAAATAAGCTGAAAAGGATTTTCGAATGGCTAATTTGTTTGTTTTTGAAGGTAGAATTTTGCGGATTTTGCTTTGTCTCTTCAATGTTTTAGCTAGTATTCGTTCGAGCTTGTTTAGTTGGGCTTATTTAAATTGACGTTTTAGTTTGTGTCGAATGTATTTTCATGATTTTTGCCTTATTTAAAGTAATTTAGGTCCCTCCTTCAGAGTTATATTTGTTTTTAAACAAACCGATATCTTCGAGGTTAAATTTTCAACAATGTCCGTTTCCTTTAAGGAATAATAAGAAGTTAACGATTGTCATTTGTAGTTTATACTAGCATGTTTATTTTCTGGAACTATTTACCCCTCATATTAGATATTTATTCCTTACATTTTTTAGAGATTTTTATTATTTTATGAGTTATAGATGCTACTGTTGGCTTGTCGTGTGTTTATGCTATTGATTATTAGTATTTTTTGTTGTAATTAGATTATATTATACGCGTGAAATTGGCGGCAATATTTAGCTTTTTACAGGCTAAATCTGGCATATCATATATCCGAGATGACAGTAAAACCAGTTAGTTTTGTCTTTTGACCTTCCAATCTACTTACCAATTCATTACGTTGTCTGTTTTAATTTTCCTTGTTTTAACTTTAAAATTTGTTTTCCATTTGCTAATGGCTGAAGGAGCTTCTGACATTTATTATACGCTTATTGCTGATGCTAGATTGAATTTGATATATGAAATAAAGCCAAGTTTTGGTAAATAAACAAAGATTAAGTTGAAGATGGGAAGACCAAGATGTTGTGGCCTCGGGTATGGTCGTAGTCTCCTTTCGACTTATAGAAGTGGGTTGACCTC